CTAAGCGCCTCATCTACACGTCTTTTAAATACCTCCAGGGATGGTGACTCAACCACTTCCCTGGGCAGCCTCTTCCAATGTTTAACCACTCTTTCAGTAAAGACATTTTTCCTCACATCCAATCTAAACCTCCCCTGGCACAACTTGAGGCCATTTCCTCTCGTCCTTTCGCCAGTTACTTGGGAGAAGAGACCGACACCCACCTCGCTACAGCCTCCTTTCAGGTAGTTGTAGAGAGAGATGAGGTCTCCCCTCAGCCTCCTTTTCTCCAGGCTAAACAACCCCAGCTCCCTCAGCCGCTCCTCATAAGACTTGTTCTCCAGACCCCTCACCAGCCTCATTGCCCTTCTCTGGACACGCTCCAACACCTCAACGTCCTTCTTGTAGTGAGGGGCCCAAAACTGAACACAGTATTCGAGGTGCAGCCTCACCAGTGCCGAGTACAGGGGCACGATCATATTCCAGTTGGAATGATTTGGCACAGTCAAATAGGTGTCTACTCCTCAGCCAGTCCAGTTCATGGTCAGTTTTACTGGTGTAAATCCACCTTACTGTCATTTTGCCATAATTGGTCAGACTCAAATGAATCTCCTGAAGTTTAGACATGGGCTTATATCTGTCATTCTGGCAGACACAGTTTGAAACAAGGTTATCAGAGAGAAGCACCGTGCTCAGTCTACTTTATGCAGCACAGGACACTGGAATTTTTTTCAGTAACACTGATACATATGAACCTCTCCTCTACATCAACAATCTACCCTTTCAGTTTTCTAATATTAAATTTTCTGGAAACCCATGAACTTTTAATATTATTGAACAAAAGTGCAGCATTTATAGAGCTCGATTCCAGAATAGATTAGATTTTTAAATTTTTATTATTTTTTAAAAGAAAAACTAATGTTTGATGTCTACATAAAACTTGAACATAAAAATCAAAAATGTTTACATAAAGAGGGTGCAATTCTGACAAGCACAGAAAGACTTGTCATCTGTGGCACCAAATAGCACAAGAAAAAAAACAGAAAATGGAGCTTGACAAAGTCCGTGTAAAATATTCCATTACTAGCATTCTCCTCTTTTCCTGTGTTGCTTATCACAGTGTCATCTAAACGTCTGGGTCAGCCAGATTTATATTAAAAGACTATGGTAGAGGTAAAAATGCAAAAGATTGTTTTGTTTGCTTTATCATACTCACTTTTCCTAACCAGGTCCCCCCCCTTTCCTTTTTTCCTTTATCAACCCCTCTCCAAATATTTCAACTTCTAGATCAAATGAGCCAGGTACTCTACCAACAGCTTTTATTCATTACATCAGGAAATTTCATTCCTAGGGCCCCACCCATTTCATATACTGATTGAGATATGGGCCTATGAAGAAACATATTCTTAGGAAATGTATGTATTACAATATATTACTTAAATTTTGAACGTGTGAGACTCCAGACTAAACCTACTACATCTGATTTCTAATTTCATCAGATTCTGTAATGGCATTTAAGATGAAGACTTATTTCAAGAACAAGGAAGAAGTTTGGAGAACTTAACATACCTGTTTCGCCCTACAGGATTTGAAGAAATTTGTGGAGGGAAGATGAAAGTGAGAGGAAGGAGCTAACTCTTATATCAGATAAGAAGCCTCCCATACCTTAGATCTGGCTATACATTCCAAGGATGCCCAATTAACATCTACTGTATATCAGCTGCAGTATTAGTCCATGTTCAAGACAGAGACATAATATGCAAGTGAGAAAACAAAAACTTTCAAAGCCTAGAACCATGGAAAATCTAAAGGGAATTTGACAAGTCAGAAAGTACAAATGAATTCAATGTAAATTATTTTTAAAACTTATTAAAGTGATTCTTCAGGGGGTTGGGGTTTTTTTGGTTGTGGTTTGTGGTTGTGCTTTTTTTTTTTTTTTAAGAGACAATAATATATTGATGTATCTTAACTTTACGCTGATTACCACAACTGAGTAAACAAACGTAGGAACTCTCACTTATAAAATTACAGATTTAAACCAAAATTTTCACATGGAGAACTGATTCAAACATAATAACCATTATCACAGCTTCCTCCCAATTCTCACCACCAAAAAGTTAAATTCTGTTGGTCATGGTAGATTTAACTGCTAACCTGTTTCTCTCTTTCTAAAGCTCTGTAATATAAACTAGGCTGAAAACAAACCTAAAACTTACCATTGTGAAACCTACCTTTGTGAAACTATTGCTATTTTCTGAATTGAATAAACAAATACTATAAAAAAAACAAGTGAAAAGGTAATAATTTCTCTGACTTTAGAACTTTTGTGTTCTTTGCAAGCAGAGGTGCTGAAAGCATTAGTTTCATATCTCATAAAATAACAAAACATGTTTTGACTGATTTTTTTTTTTGTTGCGGGAAGATACTTCTTTTAAAGAATCTCAGGGACCTATTCAATGACCTTTTGAGATAATTTAATCAACTAAAGTAAGGTTAAGATAGGGATGAACTATAAAGAGATCCCTTGAATGTCTGATAAAGCCTCAACAAGAAATAAAAAGCGAAAGATTTCATTAGCTTTTGTAACTAAGAAATTTGGACCAAGAAAAAATTATAATTTGGCTTCAGTTAGAAAACTATATATGAAAATCTTGGAAAATAAACAGAAGTGTTAAAAACACTGGTATTATTCTTTTTTTTTCTTGCTCCCAGAGTGCAGTTAGAAGACTCCCAAGAACACAGAAACCAGCATTACATTAGATGTACAATGACTGTTACTCTTGTTAAAGATGGATTGAAAATGAACAGTGGCAACAGCTTTCAGCAAAAGCACCACTTCAGAACTAGTTTTGTTTTACAAGTACCTATACTCAAAGACGACTGCCTATGTGACATCTGTAACCGGCACCAGTTCAATGCAGTGGTGTTTCCTGACCAGACCAACATTCTGCAGTTGACTCAGAATAGTGATCGCTGCTCTTATATCCCCCACCTGTACTCCAGCTGTTCCAATATTTAAGTACAGGTCTTTGATACCCACAGCGATAACTACAAACAGCAAGTGCCTGATACTCCTTTTCCTGAAGCCCACAGATACATCTAAAAGAATTATTTCCACCCCCAGGGAAATCCTCTCAGATGAAGCTAACAATGACCATCTTTGCTTGAAACGCGAGGAGCGGACCAAAAAAAAAAAAAAAAAAAAAAAAAAAAAAATCAGACTTACATAGATATATGCACCCAGGAAAAGAAATAGCCTCATTCTGTGTTTGTCTACATGAAATCATTAACAATTATAAATTATGAGCTATGTAGAAATTATATCCAAACTGTATTTCCACAAAAGGCATCAACTGCCAGCACTGAACTAGCAGTATTTTCTTTTCTGTCTTCCAGTCTTCCTTTGTTAATTCAACCTGGGAAATATTACAAACGTATCTTCCCGCTGGGAATGGAAAAGGTGACTACAAGTACAGTTGACAGAACATATTATAAAACATAGGAGGAAGGAGGTAGAATAGGTTAACATAGTGATAACTACAGTATTTTCTTCTCATTTACATGGAGAATAGGAAGAAAAATATCAGTGTAGAAAACGTCACTGAAAAAGTTAAGACTTATTAATGCAAACAAAAGTAAAGCCAAGCTATTTTAGCTATGGCAATTCAAAAATACCTCCGTATCTCCCAGTGAAACTTTGCCACGAAAATACTTTTTTTTTTTTTTAAAAAAACTAAATTACTTTTTAAAGAAAGAGAATCCCAAATCATTCCAACAGTAATATTCCAACAATCAGGCCTTCCACATCCATGGATACGTCCACTAAAAGTCCAATTAAAAGGCAGCACTTGTACACTTCTCCGGTCTGGAACCTCTTCACATTTAGGAAGAAGCAGCTGGTACTGTTTCTGTAATATTATATTAAAACTATATTTCAGGAAAGGACCCCAAAAAAAGTGATAACAAAACAGAACTCACCACAACTCCAAACTGCTCCGGCTCAGACAAATTATTATACTCGCTCTTGAACTTGGACAATGCATTCAATTGTTCTTGTTCGGGAAGATGTTTTATTAAATTCTATCAAGAAAAATAAAATAGGCTTAAAAATCTCAGATTCTATGTTGCTTGTGTTATTGTAGGCAAATGGTATTACATATGCATCATTACCATACACTCCAAAGACAACACTCGTCCCTGAAGACAGCAGAATGTAAATTGGCAACACACAAATTAATGTAACTGAGAGTGTAAAAAGCGATTAAATACTGCTAGCTAGCATCTTTTGCTGATTCTACAAACATTTACGTAGTCTTTTTTTAAACACCATTTTTAAAGAAAGAATATGCTCGATAGGCACTATATGCAAACAGAACACCAAGAACCAAACAGAACAGGGTAGGCACAATAAGAATTTCAAGTGTAACATATCCAACGAAAGGATGGCAAGAATTACTAATGCTATACAAAAAGTATTTTGAAAATGGATAATTTATTTTCTAGTATTTCAAAACAAAAGCTTAAACCCATTAGATACTACTTAGCCTGAAAACTTGCCAGAAGTAGGAATTCAGAGGTGGGACTCAGCTTCAGCTGAATTCAGGAGTCCATATGGGGAGCTTGGACACTTACACAAGTCAATGTCTTGTGAACACAGGTAAGGGAATCTAAACATGTCACCTTCATTAATCATCTGAAGAGTTCTCAGACTCCCTGGAGCTTCCTGAACACTAGACACCTACATTTACATATAGACACCTACATTTAGGCACCTGAATCCCACTCTAATTACAATCAGCTAGGTAGGCTAAAAATGGCTATTCTGAGGTTCTGGAAGTAGAGAGCTTCTCAAACATTTAATTATGGTATGTAATTCAAGTCAGTAGCTCAGTTCTGTCCCTTCCCAAGGTGACTACTATAACTACTAGGCAATAGTTAGGGTCCCCCTATAGCCTGCTCTCTTTCTCAACTTATGACTCTTGTGTTCCTCTTTACACATCGACTAAGCTTCCATCATAGTAAGAAAACAAGAGAGAGATTGTGTTCTTTCTTAAAACACTCCCTGGTCTACTGATAAGATCACTTTTCTGAACTGAAATAAAGATTCAATCCTTCTAACACTGAATCAGGTCTAGCAAACACAGCTATCCCACTACCTACTACGACATTTCAAGAAAGGATCAGAAAGACTAACTCCAGTATTTCTCCATTACTCAACGGAAAAGGCAGACACTTCGGTTAAGTCAAAGTCTGTTTTATTAGTCTGCAAGTAAATAGCTTTGGTGATATACAATCAACAGAGAAGAACTTCAGTTAGTGAACACCTGAAAGTCTTAAAAAAACCCTAATTTTATCCACTGTTGTGGTTTGTACCTGTAGCTGTACCAACTACTAAGAAGGAAATTAACTCTATCCCTGCCGAAACCAGGACAATCACAAAAGATCCTAATTTCTTCTTCTACAGGAAATTCAGCTAGTTAGGATATACAAATTACCCCTCTGGGGCCAGAGAGATAAAAAGTCATAGCTATGCTTTGCTTAACATACTTCCCTAATTTAAGAAGAAAGAATTCAGCTCTAACTAGTACCCCAACAATATCCCTAAACCAGTAGTCAACTCAGTGGCTCTATGCTATCTTCAGAACCTGTATTAGCTAGTTCAAAGCTAGCCCCAGGCGTTTATTCAAGTTGCAATAGCACCCTTGGATTGCAGTATAGACATTCCTCTTGTAAAAGTATGAAACTACTACATTTGTAACTAAAGAACAGATGTATCCAAAGTGTGGAAGTTTTTTAAAAGCAGCTTGAATATTTTGTTTAAAACTACTTCTTTTAATTTTTCATAAATCAATCTCTTAGCTCTTGTAACAATTGTCATTTTATGGCAATTTAGCATTTATCAAACGTTTTTTCTAATGGATAAAAAGACCTAGACAGTCCTTTATCACTGTTTTGTTTTAGTGCAAAAATAGTTACTATGTTAAGAACTGAAAGCCTCCTTTGAGTCTAAGGACTACGATAAGTAATTCGTTTTACAATATTTTGTCATATCCAAAGTAAGGACAACATAGTTCATCAAGAAAGTAAAGTCAGCAAGTAAGAAAAGCTAGACTTACAAGCAAAGGTCTAAATAAACCAAAGGAGAGTAAATGATAGTTAAAGAGTAGACTGCTTCAACAGACTGTCCATGCTCAAATAAGGATTTTGGTAGGGAAAAGAGAGTACTATTAAAAATGCACGAATGATGATGCTTAAAATAATAACGCAAACAAATTTTATGGAACTTGATTTGGACATGGTCAGACTGACTTCCAGCATGAAGAATCTATAACAATAGTCATATATATCCTTACCATTATTACACTTGGAAAATATTTTTGTAAAACAGACTACATTTATTAATTATGGATGAAGATGTCCAGCACTAAATCAGTAACATTGAGCAAAAATGAAAGGGTACAAAGTGTAAAAGGGTACATTTTAAATTAGAAATTCATAACCCACTTATTTCTTGTCTTGATACGCAACATCTATATATAACCAGCTCTAAATATACTACAATTCCTTAATCTTTACTGAGATTAAAATGTTATTGTTTGATGCTAAAATAATTTTCACATGTAGAAAAACTGACCACAAAACTTTCAAAAAGAGAAACAGTTAAGCGTTGTATGAATGTTTTCAATATTGAGCATCAAAAAAAAACCCCTGAAGCAGCAGCTGATATCAAAGCAGCTTTATGGTGTTCAGATAAAGCTTTTGAACTGCTAGAGATGAAACACATTTTGAATATCAAACAGAGAATAAGAAGGAGAAAGAATTTTGACTAAGTCACAAGAAACATTCCAATAATTAGTCAATGACTATTTGGATTACAACATGACTTTTGGAGTTCTTACATCTTTAAGAACTAGATTTAATTCCTAACTGGAGAAAGGGGGGGAGGGAGAGAGAGAGAGTGCTGGGAGGGACACATTTTACTTCTTAAGCATAACAAAAGAGTAGGATTAAGGACAGATTTCTAACTTCAGAAACTGTAACATTAGGATACACTGAACAATATTTAAAGCTAGACAGAAAAAATTGATGAAGGCAAGAGATTTCTAGAAAGGAGAAGACCTTAATATTTAAGGTACCTTATATAAATAAATGAAAATAGCCATATGCTTGCAAACCTATGTATGCTTTTGGTCTTCTCAGAATCATGAAATACACAGGACTACATTTTCATAGCATGACCATAACCCATACTTGTGAAGGTTTTTAAAGGTAGAAATAGAGACATGCAGCTGGATAGTTAAATTTATTTAGTAACCTAAGCATATGTGAAGGTGAACAGCAAATTTTTAAGCAATGAGGCACATTATTCTACCACTTCCAAAGGAAGATGGGTGTCTTAAGTGCTTTTTCAAGTTTAAACTCAGATGGTCCCCTTTTCAAAGTTATTACAGGGTTGTTTTACCCAGGAACAAGAAACTTGGATGAAACCATTTGATAAAAATTATTACATCCAAACTTGCAAAGTAAATTTTTTTTCCATTTGATTTAGGCCTGCAAGTGTTTAATCACTTTGCAAAAAAATGCAATCTATACTCTTGAATCATTCATATGCTTAAAAAAACTGCAATATGTGGGACCTGCCATCCTCTAACACTATGCCTTGTTATATATATGTCTGTGTTCATACAGGATACTGTGAGCATTATCACTTGTATTCTACTACACTTTTAATCACAGCAGCTGCTAACGTCACTTTCCTCTTGTAGGACAATATTCCTCACCACATATTTGGCTCTTCAACTTCTCTTATCCTTTTCTTAAATAAAATTGTTCCCTCCCCTCCAAAAGCAAATGCAAAAAGACTCAAACTTTGTCAACAATACTTAGACTCAATTCTTATGCCAAGAATTATACAGAGAGGTTACTGGATACACTGACTTTCAATATACTCTACTGTTAATACTAATATTAAAAGACCCACAAGATTATCAGCACAGTGTCAAAAAAGTATCTCCTATTATTGTTAACCATGCCTATTGCATAGAGAATGAAGTGGGGCTCGGTTGTGTTAGCTGTTTTAAATATACAGAAAAGTAGGCAGTCTTTATACCAAGGTATATACCATTGAAAGGGAAATAAAAGTCCACAAAAGAAATTAAAAAGAAAAAAAAAGTAAACAATTCTCTATGAAAGTAAAGTTTTTCTTCTTAGCTTATTGCAACGGATGGAGTATTTACCACATGTTCACATAAAAGTATGCCATTAATTAACTACCTTTAATGGTTTGATGATCTTTTTCCCCAAAGCCTAGATGCAAAAAAATGTTTTGCCTTCTTTAAATAATACACATAGAAATTATCAAGATGCCAGTTTTTCATAGTTTTGATATATAATATTTATTTAGTATATACAGGTTGCTTCATGATATTGTTGAGGACCTAATTTCGTTAACAAGCTAAACTGTCACCGCTGAAAAACAGTGCTAAGGTCAAATAGCATGAGAGAGTCTCAGAGCAAGCATGGACTATCTGAAACAGAGTTCAAGCTGAACATAACAGCGTAGCATATTCCATCTCTCAGCTTTTCATGCTATTTTAGAGAATTTCGACTTGTTCCAAATAAAAGATGCACTTCATGCACCTTTTGAGCGTGAAGAAAACCTTGAAAAAGAAAAGTGATATAAGTGCAAACTAGAATCAACAAACAGCTTAGACGTGTAAATTGCTTTTTTCATCCTAATAACCTTAAAGTAATAGTTTCAGTGCTAATATTAACTGCATCGTTGAATGAAAGAAAGAGAATTATACAATGGTTATATATACTGTCACTGGGGATGATGGCTCATGTTTGTTCCTTCAAATATTTCTTCGGAGAAACATCTCATTCTTCAAATCAATCAGTAGACAAGCTCGTTTTAAAGGAACGTGAAGTCCAAATAGGTCAACAGAGTCTAAAGATCTTTGAAATCCAAGTGACAAGAAGTGAGAGCCAAACTGCATGCGGGAAGGAAAGGAGCATGCTGAACATTGTACAGCCTCCTCAGTAGGAGCTTATTTTGACATTCCAATATGGTGGAAATTTATTTCACAAGCAAAGCACACAAATATAAATTTTCCTTGTTTTGACCTTTGAATACAAATTGCTGTGTTGCAGTTTGAGTCACACATTTGAATCTCAAAGAGCCTTAACGTTACAACTCATTTTTTGACTCTCTCTATTACCTGTATTATTTCTTTACTAAACAACATTCCTGCAAAAAGCATACATTTCTACAAAATCTAACTTTCTCTTTCTTGGATGTTTCAGTAGGGACTGGTGCCCATGTCTCTAACACACTTTCAGGTATGCTCTACAGATCAGCTATCTAAATCCTCTGTAAGTGAAACCTATGCCACATGACTAGTAGATTGATAATAATTATGATTTGAAATTCATGAGCTATAACAGCAAAAATCTGAAGTTCATCACAGTATGTAGGAGTCCTGTCCAAAAGACAGACAATCTTGGTCTAAAGACATATCTTTGCAAATCTAATGGATGCCCACCAAGATGACTGGGGAACATGGCACACAACAGGCAAGGAGAGGTTGAGAGAAGTGGGTTTGTTGAACTGTAAGAAAACAAGGCTCAGGGGAACTTAATGTGGTTTTCAGGTACCCAACTGGAGGGTACAGAGAAGATGCAATTAGGTTCCTCTCGGAGGCGTGCAGCAGAAGACCAAGGTCACAAGTTGCAACAATGAAAATTCTAGTTAGATAAAGAAGAAAAAAAGTTTTTCACCACGAGGGTAGTTCAACACTGGAAAAGGTGTCCAGAAACGCTATGGAGTCTCCAGCCTTGGAGATATTAAAAATTTAATGGGAAAAGGCCCTGAGCAACCGGCTCTAGTTGACCTGGCTTTGAGCAGGGGCTCGGATCAAATGACCTCCAAATTATTTTTTTCCCATGGTACCATAATTAAGTATTTGTATTTTATTTATTTTATTAAATTCTTTGACTTATTAACCCGTAAATAACACTGTCTGTAGAACAACATGAGGAACTTCCAGTTTCTTTTGTCTCCACACAGAATCATACTGATTCTGTGCTTTGAATAAAATAATATGGAAAGGGAAAACACTATCCAAATAAACTCTAGGGAAGAAAAGTAGTCACTGTGGATGCCCTCAGGCAAGATCCCAGATTGTATCAGCTCTAGCAGGACAGGGGAAAAAACCCAAACAAAAAAACCCAAAGAAACAAAACAAAACAAAACAAAAACAAACCCAAACCTTTTTCCATCTAGTTTTTGACCAGAACAACAGATTTGTGCAGATGAGACAGAGGTAGAAACAAATTAAAGAAAAAGTTAGTAACTAGGGAAGAAACAGAATATCATATGCTGTTTGAATATATACCAAAGAAAAATCTAATTTAGGTGTGGACAATATGAATGCAGAAAAGAGAGAACATAAGTTCAGCTGCTTTCATAAAAAAAATTAGCTTTACAAATATAAAAAAACTATAGTTCACAGAAAAAAAAAAGATTCTTGCAGTGATTTATTAGCCAAAAGTTTATGTTAAGAGGCTTTTTAGCTACAGGTTTCTATTTGACGAGAAGCTTACCCTGAAATATTGTGATTTAAAGTGTCTTTTTCCTCACCTGAATCATGGACTCTGACAGCTGTGTTTCGTCTACTTCCAATATCATCATTTTGATTTCCTCATAAGGCACTCGGAAAGAGCCAAGGAAAATTGCTAAAACAAAGATACAACACATAATGAAGAAAGCAAGACAACAACAATCTTTTTTCTACTTACAAAACACCAGTTAAACAGGCTATAGAATCTACAGGTTAACAAACACTACGCAAAGTAATGTAGATAAGAGATAACGATTTTAAATGTATTTTCAATTACTGTTCTCCTACAATTCCAGCCTTCTCCATCCACTTGTTATGAGCAACACCCAGCATCATAAGCATTGGATCAAATGACCTCCAAATTATTTTTTTCCCATGGTACCATAATTAAGTATTTGTATTTAATTTATATTATTAAATTCTTTGACTTATTAACCCTTAAATAACACTGTGCGTAGAAGAACACGAGGAACTTCCAGTTTCTTTTGTCTCCACACAGAATCATAAGCAGCCAGTGACAAGTCTACTCTGCAGGATAATCATTGCCATTATAGTATTTTGTGCTGAGGTGACAATTACACTTTTTTCTTCAATGGTCAATAGCATCCTGGCCTGTATCAGAAATAGCGTGGCCAGCAGGAGCAGGGAAGTGATCGTCC